CAGCACAATGTTGGTGGGAGACAGAGGAAAAAGGAAGGCAATTTCTGTTTTAAGTCTACTAGGGAAAGCAATATACACACCTTCATGTTAGAAGCAAGGTGGAAATGTAGAGTTACAAGCACCCTGTAGCAGATGGTGACACATTCATTAGAAAATTACAATACAGATTGTACAGTCCACACTCCAGCAACATCATCTCATTACGACTGAGTACTAGTGCCCCATCAAAACAAACTGACTTTTCCCCCTTTTTAAATATTTCTGAAAAGTTAAAGCCCCTTAAATCTATCTTCCCAACCTCTTCTTCATTCGTATTCTATTTTGGTCTTACCAAAAAAATTCTAAGTTTCATCCATGGTATAGTTAAAATTAATTGTGATATCATATCCTAAGCCCAAGATTTGAAACAGTCTATGATTTCTTGTAAGATAACATCCTTCATTACAAATTTCTTCAACCAAGAATGTCTTATACTCACACACAGAAACACCCACATCGGATAAGTAAACTATCTCCAATTTACTGCCCAAATTTGTTCTTGTAGGGTGTGGGGGCAAAGGGCAAACAGATTTGGAATTTAGAAGCCTTGCCTTTTAGTTTATGTGTGGTTCCTAATTAACTTTTTAACCTTGATTCAGTCACTTAATCTTTCTGATTTTCTAATCCTCTTTTGTAAAATGAGAAGAGTTAAATTAGATGGTTACTAGGGTCTTTTAAAATCGTTAAGATCACCTGCGAAAATACATCAGCTCCTGTGTTCTACTTTGACCTTCATTACCAAATGAGAAAGAGAAAGCTCTATGATTTTCATTTTTTTAGGAATAGGGATTCATCTTCATCATACTGGTTGTATTACGAAAGTGAAATTTGTATTATATAACTGTTTGATATTATGCATTTAAGACTAGCTATAAAACGTTAATATAAAATGTTCACATAAAATGTTATTATTTATCTAGTGACTATCCTGTTTTATTGTATGCTCAGCTGATGCTGTTGAATAACTACTATTTATTGCAACGTTAGTGGTATCATTTTATTGGGAGTATTGTTGGTGTTTCGTGTTAGGAAAGCTAACTCCGACACAATGCTGACATCAGGGATAAAAAGGAGACAGCACGGTAGAAGGCAGTAACCCTCAAGAAGGCTGCTGCTTGTTTACACGGGTTGTAGGAAGTGCCAGGAAGTTTAAGATGAAAAACGCTAGACTTTGAAACATGATCTTTCTCGAATAATTCCAAGAACCAAGTGCAGGGGCAGGGGGCCGAAACATATGTAATTAGCAATTTCAGCATTTGATTTATTGTGGAAAGGAACAGAGGAACCTAAGGAGTAAGGCTGGAGGAAGAAGCTTGTGTTGAATCAAGCTGTGCTCCATGGTTGCTCTGCCTTGGGGTACAGGGCTTTGTGTTTGTTTGTTTGTTTTGCGTTTCAAAGTTGTCTTCTCTGTAGCAGACACACCAGCCTCATTGGGTGTAGAGGTCCTTAGTGTGGTACTGTGGATATAAACAGTTTAGCCCCGCAATGGGAAGGCGGTCAAGGGGGAAGAGTAAGAAAACACACCAAGTATAATCAGCTTAGTGTAAATCATACTTTCTTCCGTGGAAAGAGCCTCACATTCTGGGAGACTTCATAAAGTATTCCAGACCAGTAAGCTGAAGCTGCAAAAAATGTCAAAAGCTGGAAAGGCCTAACTTCTTGAAAGAAAACTTTGAATTTGGAGTACAAGTGTGTTCTAGGTCAAAAAAAGTGTTGATCAGTGAGGGACTCTCTTACCTCCAGCGTTACTGAGGTGAGCCTCAGGTCAGTTTATAGAGGAGCCCTCAGGCTACAAGAGCTTCTGGGGCAGTGGTCTTCAAAATCAAGTGTGTGTGTGGGAATATTGTATATCCATAGAAAATGTAGACTCTTCAAAATCAGAAGATTCTAATCCAGTAAGTCCGAACCCTGACACCATCATAACCCACTTTTGGGAGGCAACCCTGGTATCATGCCCATAGGTATTTAGCCTAAAAAGGTGAAAAAGATGCAATTAAAATGTCTGATATATTAGGGCACCTGGGTGGCTCAGTCGGTTAGGCATCCAACTCTTGATTTTGGCTCAAGTCATGATCTCCCAGTTCATGAGATTGAGCCCCGCATCAGACTCTGCACTGACAGCGTGAGCCTGCTTGGGATTTATATTCTCTCTCTGTCTCTGTCTGTGTCTCTGTCTCTCTCTCTCTCTCTCTCTCTCTCTCTCTCTCTCTCTCCACTTGCCCTGCTCTGTCTCATTCTCTCTCTCAAACAAACTTAAAAAAAAAAAAAACATAAAATATCTGAAATATTCAAAGAGAATTCAATAAGGTATATGCAAATTTATTTACTGCATTCCATAGAAAAAGACTCCTTATTTTGAACAGTTATCAGTAATAATGGATAAATATGCTTTCATATGTGCATACATATACATATATACACACAACATACATACACATGCACACACACAAATATATAACCTTGTTTACCTCTTATGCTAACCTTAGATGTTATCATCATTCTCATTTTTTAGATGAAAGTGGTAAAACAGATGTAATTTGCCTAACATCCCACAGCAGTAGCTTCCAAATTCTGACTCAGGAATGTGTGTTATAAATCCCGTGCTCAACGTCACTCAGCCAGCATTATTGCCAATATGGTACAGGGCGTATGTTATAAGACTTCTTATGCGTAGACAATGTGCTGGCCAGAAAAAGGAACAGATTTTTTTTTCAGTTTATTTATTTATTTTGAGAGAGAGCCAGGGGGGTTGGGGGACAGAGAGAGAGGGAGAGAGAAAATCCCAAGCAGGCTTTGCGCTATTAGCCAGAGATCGTGACCTGAGCTAAAATCAACAGTCAATCCCTCAACCGATTTTGAGGCACCTCAACGAACAGATTTATAAAATGTTGAAATGACTTGATGAATAACAGACACTAAGAGAAGCCAGGATGGCGAGGGGAGCATCAGGCAGAGTCTGTGTCTCGCGGCCTCCGTGGGAGCCAGTTCACCACCTGGAGGTACTAGGTCTGCTTCAAAATGGTGGTTCCTTTGTTCCTACAGTATGGGAAGCGGGGCTCTGCTGTGCACGTTAAATTTGGTAACTTCTGGGTATTTTTCTTCCTACCATGTTTTCTTTTCAATCTAGCCATGAGATTAATACCTATAAATATATAAGTAACGTTTCATTAACCATTTTAACCTACTGTAAACATCTTAGTCTTGAAGTCCAGTTGTAAATATATATGTTTTTGAAAAGAAAATCAATTAGTATTTGATTAATTTTATTGACAAATTTTTAACAATAAAGCGATAAACCCAGAGGCAAGAATGAATACAGATACTCTGATTATAAATTTTAAAAATACTAATTATAAAAGAGATTTTAACTTAAAATGAGATTATTTCAGAATAATATTTTGATAAATGTTAAGTGTGATTTTTTTTTAATTCACTGCAGCTTTTTAGAGGTGTTTAATATTCTGTAGGTATCTCATCTGTGGAGAGCATGTTCAGAAGCAATTTGGACATAGGCATATTATAAGATGATTAGCTGAAACAAGTTTTCAATGCCTATGATCTACAGTTCTCTGCAAAGCTTTTCAAAAGGTAGACTGGGGCACCTGAATGGCTCAGTCGGTTAAGCGTCCGACTTTGGCTCAGTTCATGATCTCGCAGTCCATGAGTTCGAGCCCCGCATCGGGCTCTGTGCTGACAGCTCAGAGCCTGGAGCCTGTTTCAGATTCTGTCTCTACCTCTCTCTCTCTGACCCTCCCCCGTTCATACTCTGTCTCTCTCTGTCTCAAAAATAAACGTTAAAAAAAAAATTTTTTTAAAAAGGTAAACTAAAAATAGTCTAAAAATAGGTAGACTAAAAATAGTCTAAAAATAGACTAAAAATAGGTACAGTAATCTCTGAAAACCGTTTTGGTGACGATGTGTTCTAATTGAAACAACTAATATAATGAACTTTGGACTGCTTTAAGAAAATTCTAGTGCCCATATAGCAATGACAACAAATGTGTTTTTAGTAAAAAGTGGTGATTTTGTTAAAATAAGTTTAAAGTGCACAGTGTAGGTAGTGGCTGTATGTTCCTCATGGCAGAAGGCTAACTTCGTGGTCAGACGTCAGTGGTGACATATTCTTCCAGATGGACCACTGACTCTCTCACTAACATAATTTTAGCCAGTGTCGCTTCGGTATAAACTTGGAATATCTTGCTCCTTTGCCTTTTGTTGCACAAAGAAATTGCCGAGTTTGGACATGTCAAAAAAGTTGATTATGGCAGCACTAATATTTTTGTCTTTACAGTAGTAGAATATCCTCTTGTCCTGCAGAAAAAATTCCTATCAATGTTAGGCTTCAATTAAACCTAATTTCTAGCCATTCAGAAAGTAGTCTTCAAAGAAGACCTAAAACCACCTTTAGTTTTGTCTGCGGCTGTTTTGCAGAACGATTACTTTATGAGCCTGATTCTTGACGTGCATTTGCATGAAGCCACTGATGTCAGCAAGAAAACTAATAAAACACAGCCCGTATTTTGTTTTGCGTATTGTTTTAATCAATACTCCCTCTGCTGGTTTAATAGGAAGAGAGCCCCAAGGACAGCTCATTTTACCAGATATTTATAGAATGCTTTTTGCTATTAGAAAGACATTAAAAAGTAAAGTCAGGAGTCAAGGCTCCTGTGAATTTATTAGCTTTATTTGTACAGCTATTCCTTTTTAATTCACACTGTTAATCTACGTAGGAAAAATCGGTACCCCAGGGCATTTCTTTTTTCCAAGATAATTTCACAGAAACATGATGTGGTGGTGGTAGCTTTGATTTTTCCATCCTTCTGTTCTGAATTATTTTGTCATTTTCTCTAGAAATTCAAAGTGTCCTCTCCTGTAAGCCCAAAAACGGAACGCCGAGTGCAGTCTGTTGTTCAAGGTGATGTAGACTTGTACCCATCTCGCTGTGTTCTCGTTCTCTGCAGGCACTCCATCTGCACCGTGTACATTGAAGTGCTTCCTCCAAATAATCAGAGCCCTCCCCGCTTCCCACAGTTGATGTACAGCCTTGAAATCAGTGAAGCCATGAGGATTGGTGCTGTTTTATTAAATCTCCAGGTATGCTTCTTCGTAGATGTGTCAAGTTCTATGGGGACAATCTTGAAGGCTAGTAGGTCCATATTTGGGCGTGGAGGGAAATTCACATGGCTGCCGCCGCCACTCTAGTGAAGGAAAATTCCATCTGGAAAAGAACGTAGGGGTCATATGGACGGAGGGTTTCCTCAGCTAATCTATTCTCTTGATTGCCACCGCTGAAGGACTAACATGAGCTGGCACGGATTAGCGGCCATCATTACAAGAAAGAATGAAGGGATTGAAAACATGCACTTGAACATTTTGTACTTTGCACGCAAAGAGTCTGCAGCCGACTATTATTTTCTGTCTCGGAGTCCTGTACCCCAGCAGGATTTATTTTTGCTGCAGTGCTGTATGGAGAAAATAGCTTTGGGTTCACTGGCAGACGGTAGGCACTCTAATTCCAAGGCAGACAACTTCGCTCCGTGGCCAGGGGCAAATCTTGTGATTTCTGGGCCTCATTTGTTCATTTAGATGAAGGGAGGAGGTTTAGCTCATATTCCCATTTGCAGCTCCAGATTCCTGGGCGTGTGAGTTACTTGCAGGATTACTGCTTGCTTTTCACTCTTTATACATTCCTGACTGAAGCACATTTGGCCAGGAAAGGCTGCCTCTTCAACTTAACCTACAGCTGCAATTCGGGCCACCTGTGGTGTTGCTAACGGCCACTTGCTGCACAAATCCTAGCGTGACACCTCACTTCACCTGTGGATGTCTGCAACACAGGGAACGTACCTTCTCCTGGGGTAACATGGGAATGGCTGACATGGCTGACCAGAGAGTTCAGGAAGCTGGCCTTGACAGTTAGGAGAGAGTTACCGGGATGCTGGAGGGAAATCCCAGCATCTATCTGTACCTCCAAATGAGGTGGTATCTCCAGTATTTATTTTGTCACTTTTCCCCAGGTAACTAGAGAGAATTTGCTTTTGTCGTTCATTTACTATTAAAACATGTGGGGAATAAAATTATGTGACGGTAGACATATTAGCAACAAGGACATTTAGAGTATTTTAAGGGAATAAAAGAAGAAGGGAACCACATAGTCTCTTTAGGAGGGAGAAAACAGCCAGTTAAATCATGAACATGAAAAAAATAGGAAAACTAAATAGGAAGACAAGTGCATTTAATGGAATGATGAAAATCTTTTCTAGATAGACAGACAGACAGATGGACAGATGGACATTTATTTGTGTAAACAAGAAGAAAAAATAAATAAATCCTAGATTTGTCAGATTCAGGCTAAGAAATTTTTCATGTTTTACATTTAAATAACCCTTCAGAATGTGCCTTTGTATGATTTAACTTTCTATGAGGTAACATAATCTTACTTATGAGATGGTCTAGGTCTCATTTCAAACAAATCCCAGAAAGGTCCGGGAACAGTATTATAGGAGAATAGCTCTACCTGTGAGTTAAAAATGAAAAGGAGTTGGTCTTTTTTATATCTCAAATTTCTCTACTGCAAAAGCTGCGAAAATGCTTGAAATGACATTTCTATTCACCCTTTCTGCTTCTGGTAGGAGCAAAAAAAAAAAAAAAAAAGGGTGCCAATTGCAGTGGCTGTTGCTGGGGGAAGGAACGCGGGTGTCCTCATCATGGCATTTTTCATAAGCCACCAGCCATTCACTTTCGCTCATGATCAACTGAGATTGAATTTAAACTGGGGACATAAAAGCTGAAAAGCTTCCGCCAAATTACTCTTCCAGAGACTTCTAATAACAACGCACCAGAGGTACCTCCGGCTCCGTCCTCATCTTTTTCCCACGTGGCACTGCCCACTGCCGCTGACTCACTGCTCAATTTAGAAAGACAGATTTGTGGAGAAATATATTTTTGAAGGTAACAGCAGCCTGGCTTCTGAATAATCTGTTCTGGCTGAGATCAAAGTGGTTTCTTCTGAGGAAACAATCCTTGTTTCTCCCCTTCCCCTTCCCCTTTTAAGTATTTTCCTTTTATCTGTCTAAAAGCTGCTGGGGAGGCTGTGATTTTCCTTGGGTTATGAAGGCTGTCCTGACTGGTTGCCGCATCGAGGGTGTTCAGTGGAGAGAGCGACCCAGAACTCTGCTTTCCCAAATTCCTATGCCGAGGACGGTCAGCGTTAGCTGGCATTTTTTTTTTCTCCCAGAGTTGGTCAGATCTTTCACCAAAGCATGATTGTACATCGCCCTGACTTGCCAGTGAATCCTGTTAGAATTCCTAGATTGTGCGCTGGGATCATGGGACCATGGGAGCCCCCCGTGCACAGTTGTCCCCACTCTGTTCCGTCACGTCTGTCACTAGCCTGAAATCAGCCATGGTGGGTGCATTTATGCCACAGAAATTACGGGTGCCGCAAATCAGTACCTCTCACTGCATCCATGGCTGGTTGTTAATCCTTTCCAGCACACCACTGGATGAGGAGCTTAAATCAGGATGAAGTAACTTCGTCAGCCTTCTGCATCTTTGTCCCTCTGAGATGTTGACATCCGCTCACACCATCACCGTCACCCTTATTCTCATATAACAATACTCATAGGTAACACGTATGCGGCACTTAATGAGGTATGACTGAAGTTCTTCACTTACCGGTCTTCACGGATAGCTAGGTTATATTCCACACACTCTCAGGCTCAAAATTTCAACAATTTGCTACTAAGAAGGGTTATTTCTCACTCCCACTGTGCATCCACCACGGGTCCATTCCTGCTCCATTCTCCACCATTTTCTCCCCACTTTGCAATGAAGGGGCTGCCTCTATCTAGGGCAGTGGTATTCTTCTGACAGAGTGAAAAGACAGACACAATAAACCACAATTTGGATCCTAATGCTTCTCCCAGAAGTGACGCCTGACCCTTCAGCCTGCGGCTCATCCATCACACTCAGACACAGGCTACTCCTGGGCCCCTCACCCCAGAGATGCATCATCCCCCAATGGGAGGCATGAGCGAACCACCTGGCTACTCTGGTGTTGAGAGCTATGAGGTCTGGTTCATCGCTTGCCTTCCAAGTTGTCGCAGGCAACCATTTTGCCAAATGCGTTATCTCTGCCGACCATGGTTTCCCATCCTGATAGCCCCCAGTAACAGTTTTCTCACCAGCTTCCCATCTCTTGGAGCCATGCTATCTGTTTTCTGGGTGCACACTCCACTTGTAAGTATCAGGCTGGGATCAGTTAGGATAACTAGGATTCTGTTGCCAGCCTTCATGTTCAGTGCCATATGAAGTTGACATAGGCTGTGCTGTATTCAGTCTTTGCTCCACAACCCAGCTGATGAAGTGGCCTCTGTCTAGAACAATAGATCTCTTGAGGTCAGTGTTTGCTGAGGAAACAACAACAAAATAAAACCCAGTTCTTTGTTGTTACCTACACGTGCTGCACATGATACCTACCATATTTATTTTCCCCATTGACCAAAGCAATTCACACAGTTCCTCCTGAGTTAAGAGGTCAAGAAAGTATAGTCTTCACGTAGCAGATGGCCTCAAGGGTTGCATGGCAAACATTGAGGTCAGTGGAGCTGAGATGTCTTACCTCCCCTAAGAAAGGGACTGCCAATACTTTCAAAATATTTACTTTGAACATTAAAATGTATAAATTGATTAACTTTCATATAAATAAAATAACAATGTTAACACACATTTGTTTCCCCATTTGATTCTTAAAAAAGCCCAAAGCAATTGGAGCTATTATCATTGTCATTTTATAAGTGGGGAAACTGAGTCACAAAAATAAAAAAGATGAATTATTTTCCATGCTCATCGTGCTTAAAAGTTGTACACAAAGGACAAAACCTACACAGTCTGGGTAAACACACGTGTTTACCCATACTGCCCCTGTGCCTACATTGCTTCCTTATACTTGAAGTATCTGCAAACCCTCCGTTTTCTGTTCTTTCTCCTTCTCACACGCTGGGAGGCAAGGTACTGCTTCCTCACTGAGGCCACTTTCTAGCGTGGCTGGTAACCACTGTTCCACATTCAAAAGTCTCCTCCACCTGTTAAATACCTTCCCCCACCCCTGACTGCAGAACCCTGCCTGTTCCACTTCTAGACCAAGGGAAAATACATATTTCCTTTACACACAGCTTTTTGATAAACATGATTTTTAGACATAGCTGACTAGTTCATATGTCACATAGTCCATTCTTACAGATCGAAGGTTCAAAGTTAGTTGTCAGAACACCAAATCCTGCATCACGTCCATTGTTTCTAATAACAAAGACATCAATTAAAAAAAAAAAATCACTTGGTTTGGTAGAATTAGATAAAGCAGAGTGTTTACCAAGTTCTCATCTTTCAAAATTTTGCCTCTATTATAATATTTCTCAGTTATTTATTTGATTTTATTTCTAATTTTCCATGTATGCGTTGGGATACATTGTTGAAAGTCAACTACTTTAACCTGCTGAAAAACAGTTCTGTGTCCTCAGCTTTAAGTATAATGCATCATTGCATTCGGTTGTTACCCTGGCCTAGTGCGTAGGCAGATTTTGTCTTTATGATCTGGCAAATGAGGAAGTGGAAACTCAGAAATAGCAGGGTTTGGGAACCAGAGTAGTTTTGGGGGTTTGTTTTTATCTTCTCCCCTTTGGCTCCTAAATGAGGACCCTGTCTACTACTATATCTACTAAAATAATATAGGATATTATTTTAGTTTAGGCTATAGAAAAACTATTAAATTTCATTTTTCCCTATTTTGGGGGGAGCGTTTTTTTTTTTTTTATATTACGTTTTGTGATTTCCAAAGGTTAATTTTATGATGTTTATGAGGGCAAAATATTTGAAAGGTGGAGGGGAAGGTAACGATTTATTACGTGGCCTCACAAAGAAGCAGTTAAGGGAAATGTTAACAATTTCCACTCTGACATAGAGATTATAGATAGAATAAGATTCTAACCTGGGTACAGCACAGTTATGTAAAAAATTAGCAAAATTCCCAGATCCTACCTCAAAGAATTCCTTGTTCTTGGTAGAGCCCTCTCCAAGATGCCAAGTAAGAGAGA